TAATTAAATGAATTAATTTGACATTATCCCATACCCAAACCAGAAAAGACAACAAAGAAAAGAAATTCCTATTAATATAATGTTAAAATCCTTACCAAAATGTTACTGCCCACGTCCTACATTTATAAAGAATAACACAGCACCAGCATGACCCATTGAAATTTAAGTGTATATGTATCTATGTGAGTGTATGTGTGTCTATGTATGTATATGTGTATGGTGTGTGTGTGTGTGTGTGTGTGTGTGTGTGTGTGTGTCTGTAACTGTAAGCTGTGGTTTATGGAAACCAGAAGAAGGTATCACTGTTTGCCTCAGTTCTTTGAGACAGGGATCTCTCCTGGAGCTGGCCTTTTCTTTTTTTAACCTAGCTGGCAACAATTCCTGGTGCTACAGTTAGTGGTGTATGTGGGACCATGCAAGCTTGTTACATGGGTGCTCAAATTCAAAGTCTAGTACATATGCTTCCACAGTTAGTACGCCTAACTTCTGAGCCATGTCTTCAGTCCCCAAGGTGACATAACATTACAGAATCACTCTAGGTAATCTAACATTAACAGAGTGAAGGAGAAAAACCATGTTACCATTTTAATAGAGTCAGAAACAAATATTTACCAGAGCTTAACATTCATTCTAGCAACAAGACTCCTCTCAGAAGAATTGGACTAGAAAATGTCTTCCATTTGATAAGAGGCATCTATAAGCTAGGCACGGTGGCATGCACTATTAATCCCAGCACTCAAAGGTGGGTGGATCTCTGAGTTAGAGGCCAGCCTGGTATACAGAGAGAGTTCCAGGACAGCCAAGGCTGCACACAGAAACTCTGTCTCCAAAAACCAAAACCAAATCAAGCCAAAACAACAACAACAACAACAACAACAATAACTACTATAAAGAAATCTATACCAAACATCAGAGTTCCCTGGGAAAGTCTCATTGCTAATTTCTAAGATTTGGAACAAGAAGAGCATTTGTCCCTACTGCATGTCATAGATGTTAGGGAAACACACAACACATAGACAGAGATCAAGTTATCTGTGTTCACTGGTGATACATGCATTTAATTAAGAATGCTATAAGAATCAGACAATTGACTTGGGATTGGTGAATTTTACCATGATTTAGGACCAAAGGTTAAAAAGATCAAGTTTATTGTCACACACTAACTTCAAACAACTGATAAAACACAATTTCAAAAGTCTTATCAAAGGACAGTAACAACATAAAGTCCTTGGAAATTAATTTGACAAAACATATGTAGACCATCTGCTCTGAAAATTATAGAACATGCCAGAGAGGAATTTAAAGAAGACCTAAAAAATGGGGAGACAGATTTTTGAAGACTGAGTGAAAAATTAAGATGTTAGTTATTCCAAAATTTATCTCTAGTGTTAATATAGTCCCAGGCAAGATATAAGGAAGATCGTTTTTTTAGAAATTGGAAAGTTGTCTCTAAAACTTATTAAATAGAGGTGAACCTATTTTTGAAAGAACGAAGTTTCAGAATGTATAAGTTGACTCTTAGGCTTATCCTGGAGTTATTGTAATAAAAGTGGTGTGGCATTGATGAGAGAATAAATATGGGAACTATGTTTTATAACTGTATAAGAGACACATAAATGATTATTTTAGAGAGCCTAGAAATGGAGCCATGTTGGTTTCCAGTTTATTTTTGAAGATGTTAAGATAATCCACAAGGGACCTGAGAGTCTTTGAAATGTCTGATCATTTATGTGAAAGCATAACAGTTGACCCTTCAGATACACAGACAAATTTGTCATATGACAACAGAGTCAAAACTACAAAACATGTTTTGTAAAACATAGAAGAATGTTCTAGCCACTTCAGGCAAAGCAAGGTTTTCTTAGACTAAAAATTACAAACCACAGTGCAAGAAAATCAGGAAATTGGCTTTCATCAAAGATTTATCTTTTCGATTTCAGAAAAAAAGATTACTATTAAGATAGAAAAGGCCAAACAACAGAATGTAGACAATTCTTGTGGCTTATTAATAATAGAGGATTTGTAGCTAGAATAGACACAGGTCTTCTCCAAGTCAAAAATAAGGAGGTAAACAACATTTTTAAAATGTAAAATTCAAACTGATATTTCACAAAAGAAGATGCTTGACTAGCCAGAATCTCAGAGAGTATGGTTAATATTAAAGTTGTCATGGAATTCTAACTTAAAATGATAAAATGCCAGTCTAATTAAAATGGCTATATTAAAAACATAAGAAATACTAATTTTAAGTGAGAATATAGAACAATTGCAATTCTCATGTCTTATATATGGAAGTATAAAATGTCAGTTATATTGGAAAATGATTCAACAGTGTAAAAAGATTAAGGTCAGGGGTGTAGCTCAATGCTAGAACACTTGCGTAGCATACTCAAGGACCTTCTATAGTTTGATCAAGCACCTCAAAAGCCCCTTTCAGTTTCTAGGCCTTTTACAATGAGAACTAAAAACTCATATCCACATAGAGCCTATCTACTTTACTTATGATAATCCCAGGCTACAAATAACTAAGATATGTGCCTAGAGGCAAATGGATAAACCTGGTCTGCCACCCATTCAGTTGAATGCCACTCATCAATATAAAAACAGCAAGCGGATAAATATAACATGGATGAATCTTAAAAATCATTATCTAATTAAAGAAGTCAGGCAAAAATGTGGGTATTTTGTTTTATAATTTTAGCACAAAATGCCAACTCATTTAGGAGTCACAAAGCTTATTAGTGGCCACCTGGGTTCAGGGACAATGAGAAAGAAGGACTGCAAAGAGGCAAGAAAAATCTTTGGAATGTGAGTTACATGTCTTTTGATGCTAGTTGTGATTTCAAGGGGAAGACAACCAGTCAGATCAAAGAATTTTGAATTTCAAATCAGTATGCCCTATGCAAATTATTCCTTAATAAACTAGATGAAGCAAATACTCTCCTACCACATACAAAACATACAAAGACATATGTTAAAAACTGAAACAAAGCAGAGGAGCTAAAACCTAGGAGAATCTTCCAGAAGAATATGACATAGACATGAGCTAGTCTCAGAAAATCCAGAAAAACTGAAGATCTAGATGTAGTATGTAATGGAGTCTAAAACAAGAAACTGAACTCGAAATTCAAAAAGCTCCTTTCATTGCTGTTGGGAAAATAACTTTAACCATTTTGAGAAATTAAAATTTTTTTTTTTTTTGTAATAAGAGTTGCCACCAGGCAGTTCTGATAAGACAATAGGCCTCAGAAGCCAGTTCCAGGTAGGACACCAGGGAGCTCAGATAGGATCATAACTTATGACAGACCTGGGTAAGTTTGATTAACCAACCCTAAGGTGGGGTTGGTGTCGTATTAAACCAGCCCCGAGCTGTCATCCTTGAGAGTGCAAAGCTCCTCCCAGTGAGAGGATTTAAAAACTGGAACTTTGGGAATGGTCTCCAGAATCCCACTGCCATGCTCCCAAGATACCTTCTCTAGCCTCTGTGTTGAACCCATCAGCAAGAGGACTCCAGACTGTGTGCACGGCCCTGGGTTCAGAGACTGTTGATGTCCAGCACTGTTGCTGGGCTCACATGGGTCTGTCTGTCAGTGTTAACTGCTGGGCAGTGCTCTCAATGACATTCTGGACCTCCATGTCTTTCCAGCCTGTCATAGCTGAAGGATTTCACGGTGGACATGGATTAAGCCTGCAAGTTTCTAAAGTATCCTCATCAAGCATCCTCAACAGAGATTTTCCAGTGGAACCTTGTAGTAGCATTTGTGCCCAATGGTTCCCTGTTTGGTGAGAAGTCTAACTTTTATATTAGCACAGCATTATAAGGAATGTTTGTGTGAGATAAATGGAACATATTTGAAAGACGAATGCTGTGGACATCCTAATTGCTGAGTGCCGTACAGCCCATAGGCCATGCTCTAAACAACTGGATCAGATTGGTTAATACTCTGTCATCATAGTCTTCATCCAGTTACTGATGGAAGCAGATGCAGAGATCCACAACCAAACACCAGGCCGAGCACCGGGAGTCCAGTTGAAGAGAAGGAAGAGGGATTCTATGAGCAAGGGGGGAGTGGTGGTCAAGATCATGATGAGGAAATCTACAGAGACAATTGACCAAGCTCATAGGAACTCATGAACTTTAGACTGACAGCTGTGGAACCTGCAAGGGACCAGACTAGACCCTCTGCATACAGAAGACAGTTGTGTAGCTTGGTCTGTTTGAGAGGCCCTTGGCAGTGGGATCAGGATCCACCCTTGGTGTATGAGTTGGAGCCCATTACCTGTGGTGGAACTCCTTGCTCCGCCTTGATGCAGAGGGGAGGGGCTTGGTTCTGCCTCAACTGAATGTGCCAGGCTCTGCTGACTCCCCATGGGAGGCCTTACACTTTTGGAGGAGGATGGGGGGGCACTTGGGGAGGAATGGGGGGAGTGGGAGGAGGGATGAGAGGGAGATCTGTGGTTGGTATGTAAAATGAAAAATATGTTTTTTTAAAAAAAAAGAAAGAAAAAAAGAATTTGAATCTTCTGTTAATGATAGATAACTTAAGGTTACATTCCATTTTCTCAGTATTTAAGTTCAAATTTCCCTACTAATCTGTATCAGTGCTTAAAATGTTATTTAAATGTCTCCATTGATTATTTTTGTAATAGGATATCAATATCATTAACAATAAACATTTGTTGTGGACACCCTACTAAGTGAAAGGAGAGCATTTTCAAATCTTGAACACTTAGATTTCTCTTGTGTGCTTCTGAATTTCTGCTTCTCTGTTGTTGAGCTTGATAACATTTTAACTCAGTTTAAAAATTACTAATTTCACTAGAGTGAGGTGATTTTCTATCTATCATCTATCTATCTATCTATCTATCTATCTATCTATCTATCTATCTATCTATCTATCTATCTATCTATCTATTGACAGGGTTTCTTAGCTTAACCCTGGCTGTCCTGGGACTAGCTCTATAGTCCAACCTAGGCTCGAACTCAGAGTTCTGCTTACCTCTGTCTCCAGAGTGCTGGGATTAAAGGCATCTGCATCACACTGGCCAAGAGTAGGTTGATTTTAAAAGCTGTAATTCAAACAAACAAGTGTGGCTGTGAAAATATCTTTTACATCACCAACTGACAATGCATGTGTTTCTCCTTCCTTTTCTTTTTTAATTTTGGTTTTTGCTTCTCCTGGAACTGGTTTTCCTATATTTTGCTTGCAGATTTTATTATATGATAGCCTTATGTTTCGGGAATTATCCCGAACATCTAACCAAACTTTTGTATCTTCGCCATTTTGTTCCTGCAATGATAAACATCTATGAATTACACATCCACTAGCTGCAGTTGGGCATATTTGTTCTTTAATTCTGTTACGAATTGTTACTATGGGCTTTCCAGTAATTGCTTCTAAGGCTTGATTATATGGTTTCTGAGAACCTGCAGTTTCATAAAAGTTACTACTGATTTTGTTGGTGAAAATACTCAAATAATTAGGAATTACATGTAAGAAGCAATTTTTATGTGTAATCAGAAATCTCTTCCTTCGGTATTTGCAGGGGATTGGTTAGCAAAGTCTGCAGATTCTAGTGCCCTGTACTTCAAATAAGTGGTTGCCAAAAGCCCAAGCACATCTGCTCATCAACTTGAAAGCATTGCTATCTTACTTACGCACCTAGTACAAAATAGTGCTTTGGAATGGTTATTACACTGCATGGTTTAGGCAATAAAAGTAAGAAAAGCCTGTATACGTTTGGTACAGATTTGATTTTTCTCTGTCACTGATTGAATTCATGGTATAGAAATATGGATATGGAGGGCCAATTCCACAGTGCAAACACACACACACACACACACACACACACACACACACACACACACACACACACATCTGTTTTATTCATTGGTAGTGTGTATGTGCACGCACACACGAGCACACTCACACAGTGCACACACACACACACACACACACACACACACAC